TCTATTTATATAGTTATTGATCCTTTTTTTCCAGATAAAGATATCTCTATTCCTATTTTACTTTACCTTCTTTTGCTCCCTTTTCTATTTACCTTTTCTCTTGTCCACAATTGCCATATTTCTTATGCTTTGTGAGGCATCTATTGTCTTCTCTTTTTGTACATTGCGATTATAGTGGTGACTATATAGTCATTGGATATCGATTTTTTTATTTTTTTTTCTATGGACAAGTGAGATATCATCCTAACCAGTTACTTACTTTATTTATCACTTTCTAGTGATAACAATGAGCCCGATTTGGCCTTTATGATTCACAGTAATTAGTGAATCTACTTTGGTCATTATCTCTCTATCTAGTTTTTTTTCACAAAGAATAATATTTTCTTATCCTTTTATTTTCTATCATTCCATTGACGTGAAATTTAATTCCTTATTAGGCAATAGTAAAGACATAAAATAAAATAAAATCAAAATATCAACATAAATAAAAGACAAATGTTTCAACAAACATAAAATGACAACAAAACAAAACATCAAACATAACACGACAACAAAACAAAACAAACCAACAAATATAACACAATAATAAAACAAAACAACAAACTAAAGTTGCTTAAGATCTAAAGCCTGAGCTCTAAGTCAAGCTCCTCCTGATCATCAACATTGGTGTTCTCGACCAATTGATTAGGACGGTTGGCAAACAAGTTTTGATCTTGAATAAGTAGAGGAACGATACGTGCAGATGCAACAACATAAGGCACTCGAAGCACCATGGATTGTTATGGTTGATACAAAACCGCCCGTGGGCGTCCAGGCAATCTTCGAGGCCCGTACACCATTGGATTACGGGGACGGTAAAACTTTCCTTGGCCCCGTAACACTGTTGGTGTCGACTTTCGTGTACCCAATTGTCGATAGAGGTTGGGGAGTCCAGCAGATGGACAAAAAAACTTCTCATGAGGAGCACCTCTTATCCAAGTGCCCTGAGATTTGTGCTTACGTTGGTGCCCAGCGAGCCCTTGGCTCGAAGTGAACACATCGCGGCAAGTAGTACACCTGTAACACCAAATTCCTTTAGAATTTGGTATGATGCCTTGGTGAGCTATTCCACTTGTTGGTGGTTGTTGTTGCATTTTTCTTAAAAGGATTTTTTTTGTTTAAGAATTTGAGAAATGATTTAGTGAGGAAATAAAAAAAAATTCCATTGGAATTTATAGGAGCAACATTTATGATAAACTTATTGCAATGCCTGAACAACCAGTTAAATGTATTAATTATAAATGTATTAATTATAGATAATGGGTAATTCTAGATATTTCATATAAAATAACTCAGTTTTGACTTTTTTTTAGATTTTTTAAATCCCAAATGTAACAGTTTTCCCGCTTCCTCTTCTTTTTCTCTCTTTTGCTTATTAGACTCAACCAAAATATCAAAATTTCAAATAAAATTTCTTACTTCTTCGCATTTATTATTGTTTTCTATTTTTGAAAGAAAGATGAGTTTGTTAGAATATGTACATAAGATAATAAATATAACATTATATATCATTTCCCTTTTTTAATAAAGGAAAAAAGCATTTAATTTTACTAACTTTATATTTATTTCTGAAAATCAGCACAAATTCAAACAAAATTCTAGAAAAATCAATGCTAGATAAGAATATGAGCAAATGCACGCAGAAAAAATCTAAAAAGTTTAAATTGAATTTTGTGTCACATTTTTTTACCTGTGAGTAGTTATTCTTAAAAATGAATTAAAAATTGTTATTCGTCTAAAAAATATCATTTATTTCTATTAAGGAATTAGGGGTGTTTACTATTCTTTCAAATTGATTTTCACTAGGGAGAAAACTAAATGAAATCTATTTAAACACACAAACCAAAAAATCAATCAAATCAAACTTTTCTTATTTGAATTTCTTACTTTTTAATTTTCACGCGAAATATGAATTCATTAATTCAGTCAAACAAAACCTATAGGTAAAATTAATTATAATGTAGAAAATTATTTTTCCACGCTTCTACTAAAGCAAAGAAATATTTCTACGATATCAAAGACCCGAATAGTTTTAGTTTTCGTTTGTAAGGGAACATTTAAAAATAATTTATCCTGCATGACATCTGACATGTCAATTTCGTATCCTACGTTGAGTCTTACGTGTATAATGCCACGTAGGACACATGTGTCTACTTGTTCAATCTTATACTAGTTTAAGTGGCTGCTGGTGCACACTCAAAATTGGAGGACATAGATGCCAGCTGAAGCAAGTTAAAAAGTATATTTATGTATTGTGCCTAATTAATAACAAGTCGTGTACTCGTTACACCTCATTAGACATTCTCTAGTTCTTGATAGGTTAAATGATCTTTTCTCCTTTTAAAGAGATCTTTGTTTCAATTTTCTTTTACTTTTTGAGGTATCCTTTGTCTTCTCTTCTTGTACAGTGTGATTAAGTACTGCTGACTATATATGATTATTAAATATCAATTTTATACTTTTTTTCTATGGACAAGTACGAGATATTCCTAATCTATTACTTACTTTATTCATTAATTTTTGGTGATAGCACTGAGTTCGATCTGACCTTTATGATTCACAGTAATTGGTGAATCTACTTTTATCATTATCTCTATGACTAATTTTTGCACGAAGTATAATATATTTTTTTATCTTTTTATTTTCTATGTTTCCATTGAAGTTGGATTTATTTGTTTATTTGACTATTGTAAAGATATAAAATGGACTTAGAACATAAACTTAAGCAAAAGACAACTGTTGCAATAAACATAAGCCGACAACAAAACAAAACAATACATTGAAGTTAACTAAGAGCTAAAGCCTAAGTTTTAAGTCAAGCTCCTCCTTATCGACAATACTAATGCTCCCAATTGATGAATTGATTGAATTAACAAGGTCAGGGGCCAATGCAATATTTAGATTTGAGTGGATCCCATATGAAATCATTTGATTAAGATAACGGCAAACAAGTCCACCTCCTGAATAAGAAAATTCTATGGAATCGACTTTTCTTTCTTAAAGGAAAACTAACCAAAACATTTTCTCATACTTTATTTATTTTGATTATAAAGGTGGTATGTCCAGCTAACTTCATAGATTTCAGTTCCATCCATGTGAGTAATTTTTCAGCAAGATTATTAAGCTCATTTCTGGAAGGCTCAACCCTATGCTACCTCTTATGTTCTTTGAGAATCAAAGTGATTTCTTGAAGGATAGACTTATTACAGAAAATGCCTAGCTAGCTTAGGAGATTGTCCAGAATATCAAAAGTAAGAATTAAGGAAATAATTTGGTTTTGAAACTTGATATATATGGTTAAAGATATATGATAGAATGTCTTCACCTTTCCTTATTGTTTTATTTAGAGAATTTAAATTTCCTACTACAGTTACCAACATGATAAAGGGCATTATTTTCAAGGCATAATATATAAATATGTTTTTTAGGGATAAGGGTCTGAAAAATACTCCAACTTTGATCGGATTTGCTGTTGCTATACTAAACTTTCATGAGAACCTATTACCTCCCTAGACTATTTAATACCGTATTTTAAATATATATATTTGCCCACGTGGACATTAAAAATAATGCAAGATTATAAATAGTAATGTGTCAACGTGGACACATATATACCTTTAAAGTATATTATTAAATAGTTCAGGGAGTAAAAAATACGGTATTAAATAGTCTAGGGAGATAATATGTCCTTTTGAAAGTTTAGTATCGCAACAACAAATCCGACCAAAGTTGGGGTATTTTTCAGACCCTTATCCCTATTTTTTAACTTGACATCTTCTCATATTTATGCCCTTCAACTTTGAGAGTACAGAAATAGACACTTAAACTTGTATAAAGTTGAACAAATAGATACATACATCTTACGTGACATCCTACATGACAATTTGAGTCCGACATGATGTCCTACGTGTATTATGTCATGTAGGATTCATGTGTCTACTTGTTAAACTTGTATAAAGTTGAACAAACAGACACACGAGTCCTATGTAACATAGTACACATAAGACACCACGTAGGCCATAAATTACCATGTATGATGCTGTGAAGCCCCGCTTAAGATTAGAAGCCACACATCGGCAAAACACAAGAGAGATGTTGGGTATACAAGTAAGCAGACCTTACCAACTAGTGAGATGTTTTAAAGTCGTGCGTGCTTAGGCCCAAAGCGGACAATATCACTAGTCGGTTGGGGAGTTACAAATGGTATCAAAGCCACTCATGTGTCAGCCTTGTCGATGTGAGCCAAAGTTCAAATGAGTTCAGGCAAATCACGGTAAGGCAGGTCAAACCTTAGTGTTGAATCTAGGCAAATCCCATTCGGTGGAGCAAACCTCAGTGAGGACATTGAGTTTATAGAGGGGGTGTATGTGACACCCCAACTTGAGATTAGAAGTTCCACATCGGCAAAAGACAGGAGAGATGTTGGGTATATAAGTAATCAAGCCCGACCAACTAGTGATGCGTTTTAAAGTCGTGCGGGCCTACGCCCAAAGCCGACAATATCACTTGCGGGCTTGGCCGTTATAGATGCTACGTAGGACGTGTGTGTCTTTTGTTTAACTTTATACAGATTTAAGTATCTACTTGTTCATTCTGAAAATTGAAGAACATAAATGTGAAATAAAATCAAGTAAAAGAACATATTTAGCCCGTCATGCGTTTCTCCCACTTGGGCCGCTGTGCCAAAAGCTAGAGAAACATCTGCCTTATTATGCATATAATATATACAAATTCCATATTTTTTTTATATTCTAAATTCGAAGTCCCAAATCTGACACACATTTGTTTTGTTCCAGCCATTCAAATTCTAATTTACCTGTATTAGTATGATTTATGCCCACGGCCATTGGATTGTTTTTCTCACAATTATAATATAAAAAACAAAGGTGTTATGTGTCAATTTTCATGATAAAGGGACCAAAGTAAAATATCATGGAAGTTCATATTCTTGAAATTAGACCAAAAATCCAAGAAAACTCTTGAGCACAAATAAGCACTACACAGTGTGTGTGAAAATGGGGAGATGTCTTCTTTCATCCACAATTTCTTCTTTGAGAATTTGTCAGTTACCCAGAATTCGTCTTCCTGCATTTCCCAAGAGTTGTAGCACAAACTCACAATATGGGTTTTGTACAAGTTTGTCCACTAGTGGGGGATTTTGCACCAAGGCTGCTTTATCGGAGGTGGGTATCAAGAAAGAGTACTCAAAGATTGCTGCTGATTCAACCGGAAGTATCCCCTCCAGTGAGCTACTCCAAGTGGTTGAAGCTGCAGCCACGACTGGTGCTCAGGTTTGGCCCCCTTTCTTAATCTGGTTTTATTTCTATGTTCTTGGCAATTTTCTGCTTAAAGATTGAATTTTGAGTTCTTGTTTACAATGGATTATTTATTGAATTAGGATACCTTTTGTTCTGTTGAGCTATTAGAGACAGGGAACTGGTTACCTAGAGGATAAGTTGGATTCTTAAGAATATGATGTTAAGCTTCATTGAGGAGTTTGGATGTTGGAGAAAGATAAATACTCCATCCGTTCACTTTTACTTGTCCACTTTGAATTTTGCATGCCTCTTAAGAAACAACGTTTAATAGGATATTAATTAGTCTTGTGTCACAACAATTAGCTTTTATTAAAGGGAGACAGATAATGGATGTTGTCCTCGTAGCTAATGAAGTTGTAGATTCCAGGTTGGTCTCAAAAAAACCAGGAATTCTATGCAAATTAGACATTGAGAAAGCATATGACCATGTCAATTGGGACTTTCTTATGGGTATGCTAGAGAAGATGGGATTTGGTCTCAAATGGAGACAGTGGGTTAAATTTTGCATATCTTCAGCAAACTTCTCAGTATTGGTAAATGGCTCTCCCGCAGGATTTTTTAGGTCACAGAGAGGTCTTAGGCAGGGTGATCCCCCTATCACCCTGCCTTTTCATACTAGTCATGCATGGACTCAACAATATGATCAAGAATGCATGCAATGAAGGATGGCTGAGAGGTTTTGAAGTTGCTAGAGCTGGAAGGGAAAGTCTAGAGATCACTCATTTACTATATGCAGATGACACCCTAATTTTTTGTGATGCTGAGAAAGACCACCTTAAAATATTGAGACTGATTCTAGTTATTTTTGAAGCTATGTTTGGGCTACATGTCAACTGGAGGAAAAGCTTCTTGTATCTAGTAAATGAAGTGCCAAACATGGAAATTTTGAAGTCAATATTGGGAGGTGAAGTGGGTGTCCTCCCAACCACATACTTGGGTATGTCTTTTGGGGGAAAAATCCAACTCTATGGAAATCTGGGATAGGGTGATTGAGAAGTGTGAGAAGAGGCTAGCAAGGTGGAAGTCTCAGTACCTTTCACTAGGGGGAAGACTAACTTTGATTAATTTTGTGCTTGATGCACTTCCAACATTTATGATGTCATTATTTCCTATCCCACCGGGAATCATCAATAGGTTGGATAGCATCAGGAGAAAATTTTTATGGCAAGGGAACAAGGAAAGGAGAGGATATCACTTAGTCAAATGGAAAACTGTGATCACCGAAAAGAGAGTTGGGGGTCTGGGGATCAAGAACATGAAGAACTAGAGTAAAGCTTTGAGGATGAAGTGGCTTTGGAAGTACTCAAATGATAATCAGAATCTGTGGAGCTCAGTCATAAAGGCAAAATATGAAGAGAGTGATAGTTGGATGACAAAGGAGGTTACCAACCCTTATGGTGTTAGCTTATGGAAATCCATTAGAGAACTTTGGAATGAATTCAAACCTAACACCAAGATCAAAGTGGTAGATGGCATAAAAACTAGGTTTTGGAAGGATGATTGGCATGCAGAAGGAAATATGGAGACTCTCTTCCCTGACATCCACAATTTAGTTCTTCAGCAACAAAGTACTATAGCTGACTTATGGACTCCTCAAGGGTGGAATTTTGTATTTAGAAGACACCTCAATGACTGGGAAATTCCAAGAGTAACAGAGTTTTTTTAGAAGCATTGATCAATTTAGTGGTCTGGAAATGGGGCGAGACAGATTGCAGTGGTTGGGAAACAGTAAAGGGATTTTTAAAGTAGGTGCAGTGTACAAGAAGTTGAATCATCCAAATCTGCAGCTACTCAAGTGGCCCTGGAAACATATATGGAAAGCCAAGATCCCCTACAAGGTGTCTTGCTTTGTGTGGTTATTGGCTAAAGAAGCAGTATTGACACAGGAGAATTTAATGAAGAGGGGAATTACACAGAAACAGTCAATCATTTGTTTATCCAATGCGAAGTCACTGGCCAGTTGTGGAATTTGTTCCTGAGACGTAAAAGCATCTCCTGGTCCATGCCTGGGAGAATTTCAGAGGCTCTATTTAGCTGGAAAGAAGCAGGGACACAAGCAAAAAACAGAAGTAACTGGAGAATTGTCCCTGCCACTATTTGGTGGACAATATGGAAAGAGAGGAACTTTAGAGTTTTTGAGAATAGGGAGAGTAGTATGCAACAAGTTAAACTGAATTGCATTTCGACTCTGTGTTTTTGGTGTAATCAAATTTACTCTAATGATACCGTCTCTATCATTGATGTCTTAGACTCATTATAGGGATAGGTCGGTATTATTAGAGTTTCCTTATGTAAATACGGGTTTCAGTACATAGGATGTTATGTTCTGCAGAAATAGAAACAATTACCATTTTCAAAAAAGAAGAAGAAATAATTTGGGGAATAAATGATTAATGTTGAGGGTAAAACATAATAAAAAAAAAGTTCTTCCGTTGATATGCTAAAAGTGTCAAGTAAAAGTGAAAATGTAGTTTTATACCGTGGACAAGTAAAAGTGAATCGAGGGAATACAACCCATTACTCTGTGGGTGATATTTTCACCATTCCCCACACATTGTATTATCATTACCTTTCACTAATTTGATTGTGAGGAAAGGGAAATACCTGCTTGAGGGGTGGGGGCCTAGGATGGGGTTGATAATTGGTAAGTTTAGTAACCAATGAGCAAAAAAATGTGTAGAAATATATACATAACATAGGTGTTTTTTCATATATTAGCAGTTATCAAAGGATCTTATGACTACATAGTAAGCTTCGTATTCATTATGTATCTTTAGATTTCCTCTAGGTCTTGATAGCTTTCTTGTGAATTTATGATTATTATTTTTTTCTTCAAAAATTTCTGTTCCAATTTTCTCTTATCTTCTTTTTGCCCCCTTTTCTGTTTACATTTTATTTTGGCCTCAATCATCATATTCCTTGTGTTTTCTGAGGTATCCTCTATCTTCTCTTTCGTACATTGAGATTTTAGTGCTGACTATGGTCATGGAATATCGATGTCTTACTTTTCTTTCTATGGACAAATTAGGGATCATCAATTTCCTTTTTCATTACTTCTATATCTCCCATCTGCATCTAGAATTTAAATAATCTCTCTGGCTCCCAATCTATTACTTTGTTTCTCATTTTTCTCATTTTCATTTTAGGTTGTAATGGATGCTGTGAATAAGCCCCGAAATGTTACCTATAAAGGGCTCACTGACCTAGTGACCGAGTAAGACTTTGTATTACTTCCCTTTGGTGGTGGTTATTTTTTTGTATCAGAATTGACATAGTGCTTCTGTTTCTTTTCTTCTACGCTGATGATCAGTGACATATTGTTCCTAATAGATTTTTCATTCTTGTTGCAGTATTGTTTCTCAATTTCTGGTGATAACACTGAGCACTGTATGGTTCACTGTAATTAGTGAATCTACTTCTATCACTATCATTATGTCTAGTTTTGTAGCAAAGAATATTTCTTTCCTTTTTATTTTCTATGCTTTCATTGAAACGATTCAATTCTTTATCAGACTAGTAAATATTCTTTGACTTTCTTCCATCATTATGTGATCATTGGTTACTGCTCCGTGATACTTCTTTTTCTTGCTGGAGGAACATATCCCCATTCTCTTAAGACCATTGCTTGAATTTAACACAAGTTAAAGAATGCCTTGTTAGCGAGTATGTACGGTCTTACTTTATCTGTTGACCTTATGCTTAACAATTTGGTGATTTATGTGAGCTACCTTTTAGTTGCTCCTTAGGTTATGATATTCATTTTATTTCTTTATGTGGAGACTTTCATCATGCTGTCACAGTAACATGTGTTGGCTTTAACTTATTGCAGCACAGATAAAAATAGTGAAGTTGCTATCCTTGAAGTCGTGAGGAAGAATTTTCCAGATCATCTAATTCTCGGGGAGGAAGGAGGAATTATTGGGGACTCGTCATCTGATTATCTTTGGTGCATCGATCCTTTAGGTTTGTTCTACAGATCTCTAGCTTCATGGCAATGAAAGTAGCTACACATATTAGCTAGACACTCTATTGAGGTTAGAGAACTTATGTAGGTCCTCAAAAGTAGAAATGAATTGTCAAAGTTCCAAGTGGTTTTAACTTGTAATGGTCAGGTTATTTTAATTTGAAGGGGTCACATTTAACTAGTTCCGGTTTAACAAATATACAACTTTAACCTAAATACTAGCAGATTTTACGCACGCTAAGGCATGTAATTGCACAAGCAATGTATGGATGAATATTGAGCATCGTCCTAACTTCATGGTCAAAAATGGGTGGAAGTTTCGAACAATGAAGTAAAGTAACTAAGTATTGAAAAAAGGAAAGAATATAACTAACACTAACTAGCTAAGAGAAAATCTTGTGGTAGCAACTAACAAGCCTAGTGTTTCTGACTTCACTTAATTATTTCATTTGGACCTTTATCATCCTCTTGATCTTACTGATAATGTGAGCTAAGTTGGAGTTCATACTTATTCAGGGTACATTCCTATGTCAAGTGAAGCTAACCTTCTTAACTAATAACCTATTTTTGATGGTTGTTAAGACAAGGAGGATGCAATGAGTTTAGCTCTATTTTCCATGCCTTTGGTTTGAAGTAGAAGCCTATTCTACAATCAAATCATACCATTATCATCTATTTGATTAGTATGGATCTCAATCTTTTCAATCCTGATTCTAAATGAAGAATCTCTCCTGAGTTACCTTAAAATCTAGAGAAGGATCTAGTTGGTGGTCAATCAATGAAAAGCATTAAATACAAGATTGAACAAACAACGTACTTGTTAGTAATAAAAACCAGGAAAAATAGTAATTAGTTCAAGCTTCATGATAATCCTAAATTGGAAATTAACAAAATGAAAGAAAGAAACTCTATTTGGTGTCCTAGTCTCTTCAAAAGCTCCTTGTCTTGTGTCTTTTGGCCTTGAAAAACTGATTTTTGTTCCTTATTATGGTCTTGGAAGTTCCCTTTCTTTTCCCTTTTTTTTTCTTCCAAAATATCTTGAATTCATTCATAACCTTACGAAGTAAAACTGGTTCATGCTAAGAGTTGAGAGCATCATAGACACCCAAGGAGGTGGTGTAGTAGTTGAAGAGTTGGAATAGTAATTCTTTTGAAACGGGTAACTTGTATTCCTCAGAATTAAGGGCTATGCTGGCCACCTCCAAAAAGTATGAACAGAGAAGAGAGAAAAAAAGAAGAAAATAGAAACAGAAATACTTACAAAGAACCTACGAAATCCACTAATTGGATTTCCTCTTCTATATTTTGTTCTTTACACCAAAAACCTAAGGAAGTATGGAATAATAATCTTAGAACCAGTTTCTCAGTAAGGGATGACATTGAGTAAATTATTCCCTTATACTGAAGACTTGTTGGGGAGATTTGCTTGAAACCTGTATTGTTAGGAGGTAGTTAGTGGATTACGCGAGACTCAAGCTGACCCGAACACCACAGTTCCCAAAATAAAAAAGAGAAGAATTGAGAATTTCGTGGAGAATCTCCTAAACAACATATTTTCAAAGTGAAATTTAGAAGTAGAAGGAAGAAATTTTGCTTGTGCTTTATCTTACCTATAAAACTGAATTCCGGTGTCTCTTTTTTGTCTTGCAAGTCCCCTCTTTATATGCAAACCGGAAATCCTAAGCCAAGAAGGAAACACTGAAAATCTTGGACTCCCTGCATATATGTCCTACAGCAGCGAGTGAAGCTTGATATAGCTGTGCGATTGCGCAAGCGCATGAACAGCCAAGTAGCTGCATTGCACAGCCATGCAGTCGCATAAGCACGCGGAGTGGCTAGTGCAACCAAGCTAAACTTGCACAACTTTAGTAAAATGGTCATTACTTTGTTCAGGGAAGTCAAAATAATGAGCAATTTGAAGCATTTGCGACTAGACATCAAGGTTGCAATTTTATGAATATCATGGCTTAACTTGAGATCTAGAATAATCCAGATTACTTTTTGAAGTTTTGTCAAAATCTGACACGTTCATTTCACATTTTGGGTCTATACAGTTCTTTCCCTAGTATGCAAAAATATTTCATATCAAGTGAGATATCCACAGTATGCTTCAAAAACTTTCCAAATCTTTTGCTAAAAATACTTATTACTCTCTCTGTCCCAATTGATATGAGACACTTCCCTTTTTAGTCAGTCCCCAAAAGAATAACACATTTCATTATTTGGCAAATATTTAGTGACACGATCAACATTTTACCCATGTTGGATCCCATTTATTTGTCAAAAAGTCCTTAAAGGTGTACTTTTCTATTTAAAAGTCATTTATTTTAAGGGTAGTTTTGAAACATTGCAAAGTCTCCCATATATTTTGAACATGTGCCCAATCAAACTACATCGCATAAATTGGGACGGAGAGAGTAATTCTTTTAATTCTTGTTTGTTATTGTTCAACAGAACCAACAACATACCCAGGGTAATCCCATAGGTGGGGTCTGAGAAAGGTAGGATGTATGTAGACCTTACCCCTAAGAGTACTTAATTTTATCTTGATAAATTCATCTTATTATTTATAAATATATATCTTGCATGTCTGAGTTCAATAAAATGTTCTTTCACTAGAAAAGCACCACATATTATCTTATAGACAACTCAACCAAGGAATGAATGTTAATTGGTAACTTTGTATTGCAGATGGAACAACAAACTTTGCGCATGGCTATCCCAGCTTTGCAGTCTCTGTGGGTGTTCTTTTTAGAGGGAAGCCAGCTGCAGCTGCTGTGGTATATGCTGGGATAGTTTCTGACTTAGTTGTGCGGACTCTTCACTTTTGATGCCGCACCCGTCTCGGATTCTTCAAAAATACACTACTTTTGGCGAATCCGACACGCACCTGCTGGCATTTTTGAAGAGTCCGAGCAACTTAGGTTTCCGATGTGCCTTTTAGATTTCTTACCATGGCTCAGTGGAAGAGCACTGTCTCTTATCCAGCGAGCTTGGTCTCTGATAATTTTATGATAGCTGATTCCAACTTAATGTGCAAGAAGAGAACCAAAAGCTTGAACCATCACTAGCAACTTAAATCATGTAGTGCTAGAGATTGATTATTGATATGTTATATACTGTATTGGACAAATTATATTATTAAAACTAAGAACATAAATGAGAATTCTTATACTCTTAAGGGACCTGAACTGAGAGATAAAAAAGAGGAAGGAATTTTCAGCAAACCTTACAAATGTTATATAGTTGAAAAGTGACTAGCTTTAACATTGCTGTAAGATTTTCTTTCTGAGGCTATCCATAATTTATGTAGGATGTGTTAGTTGAACTATAATAGATGCCGCCGAATTCAACCCTGGCAACTCTGCATTTTTTAATTCACTGAAGATTTGAATTAGCTGACCAACCAAAATTATGTGACGTTTATCTAATAGTAACTTTTATGTAGTATACAGACTCTCAGAGGAAGACTGAGAGAACGAAATTGGAAACCATAAAGCGGGAAGACTATCAATGACACCAAATCTCTTGTTCTGATATCTGGTCAGATATGACATCTGAATTCCATGTCCTGAACATAATATTGTTAAGGTCTTTTTCTGTACAGGTTGAGTTTGTTGGTGGCCCTATGTGTTGGAATACTCGAATATTTTCTGCAGCTGCAGGTAAAGAAGTTTATCTATAACAAGTCATTTATTCAATTGCAAACTCCAAAGATCTACTAATGACGTTATGCAATTTTCTTCTCCTAGGCAAAGGAGCCTTTGCTAATGGTGAAAAGATTCATGTCAGTCGAACTGACAAGGTGAGAATTTATACATGCAAATGAGTAAAACTAGCTTAATTCCCATTTTCCACAGACCCATGACTAGGAATGAGAGTTTGATGATAACTTTCAGTACATCTGATAAACATAGTTCTAGCTTGTCCTATTGCATTAGAGAGTCAGGTAAGTGTGGGCCTCTACCTGTTCTGTGTGACCTGTTATGCGTCTATACCCATTTACATGCATGTGTATTTATGACTATTTGAAAGTTGTGCTAGTTTTGCACCTTCTTTATGGGCAAAGACATTATACATGGCTTGGCTTTCAAGTTTTAAATTGACAATAGTGTTACACATAAAGCTCACTAAATGAAAGGTACAATTACTGTCAATCTTCTTTCACCAATTCTTTTGACTTATTCGTTACTGTTCTTTATTGTTTGGTGTTTGTTTAGGTGGAACAATCTCTTCTAGTGACTGGATTTGGATATGAGCATGATGATCCATGGGCAACCAATATGGAATTGTTCAAAGAATTTACTGATGTCAGCAGGGTAGCAACTTTATCCCTTATCTTTATCTGAAATTTTGCACATTCCCCACCAAAAAAAAATTCTTCCTGCCATGTTCTGCATAGGGTGTAAGAAGGCTTGGTGCTGCTGCAGTGGATATGTGTCATGTTGCTTTGGGGATTGCTGAAGCATATTGGGAATATCGTCTAAAGCCATGGGACATGGCTGCAGGAGTTCTGGTATTCTTGCTTTCATTATTATTGATATTTCCAGACACTCTTCTTCTCATGTTTGAAGAAAATTCTAGAGAGCTGAGTAGGCAGAATTTGATGCATAATAGGTCCAATCAACAAATTGTAGTTTCAATATAATATTTTGTTTTCCTCTCCTTACTATTAAATAGGAAAAACGGTTAAAATGTATTCTTTGCCACAAGTTTTCTTTTCTTTTTCTTTATAGATTTGTGAAAAGTGATTTAGTCGGTGAAAGAAAGCAACATATTATGTACTTATCCAAAAAGGAAAAACAAGCAGCACTTACCATTGTGTATGTGTGTGTGTTATTTTATGTGGATAAGTAGAACTAACCATTGTGCAATAAACAAGTAATGCAGCGGGGGCAAGTGTGCAGGAGGAGTTAAGGTCCTATAACAGGAATGCCTTTGTTAGAATGAAACCTAAGTAGCAATATATAAACTTATCTCATTTCTAAGTTCCGTATGATCCTATTTGATACAAATTTTTCAAGATCAGTGGGTTGGTTTTTGAATCGAAGAAGTGAATGGTTCTCATCTTTTTAACTTGAAGTATCAGATGTTGGTAACGTTGTAATAATGAAATACCTCCAGGATATCCACTCATGAAAGTGAGTTTGGCTCAAATGTTGTCCTTCTCAAGTTTCTCTTAAGGGGGTTACTTCTAGTTTACGAACTAATGACAAGTTATTCAAGTGATCAAATCTATATTTAACACTGTGGTGTATGTTTCATGCAGATAGTTGAAGAGGCTGGAGGGACAGTTTCGTGTATGGATGGAGGAAGTTTTTCAGTATTTGATAGATCTGTCTTGGTATCCAATGGTTTGCTCCATGCAAAGGTCAGCATTTACCTATGTTGAACTGAAATTAACTTGCCAGCTGTTTTTAATCTGCATATGGTTGCAGACTTGCAGTTGATTTAACACATAGTACGTCAAATCTACTGGATCAATTTTGTTTTTAATATTTATGATAAGTATCTAGAAGACGGAGTATTCTTATTCCTTTAAATTCTGGTTAAAATTTAGAGCATGCAACTTTCTAATGGAAATGTGTTGCTACTCATTGTCGTTTCCATTAACATGTGCAGCTCCTTGAGAAAATTGGTCCAGCAACGGAAAATTTGAAGAGCAAAGGGATTGATTTCTCAGTGTGGTTCAAGCCAGAAAATTACCATACAGAAGTTTGATATGTCCCTGCGTTTTGTTCTTTAGATGTGCTGCTTGAAAGATTCTTCTACAATCAGATTTTGATTAGGTCGGTATTTGCATTTGTATTTTCTATTTTACATATCATTGTATGGAACTGGTCAAATATTCGTCGGTATCAGGTAAATATTAATATAACATGTCTTTTAGGTAAAAGGATATTGGCAACGGAAATAAATTGTATTAAATTCTTACTGGAAACAACATTGAGTAGAAAGACATTTCCATTAGTAGAACTGACTTTATGACATCTGGTCAATCAAATTATACGATTTTATCTATTAACATTATGTTATGATTCCCATTTTTTTCCATGTTATTGTACAAGTGTACAACTGGCAAACAAATCCATTAAATGTTCGTCTGTAACTGAGTAAGTGCAATACTGGGCCTTAAAATGTATTCCCAGATTGTACAAATTTTAGTTCTTCTGGCAAATGCTCTGAACCTGAATTTGATGTTTTAATCGAGAGTTTTACTTTTTTATTCTGGAGGTTTACAGACCCATAGGTTTCTATCTCTGCTAGTGGGGAAGAAGTTATATTTTTGATCTATTTGCTTTATTAGTTTAACACATGGTATGCAAGATTTTCCTAGATAGGTCAACTCTTGTCTATACACATTTATCACTTGATACTATTGAGTTCTGGGCTTAACGCCAAATGTCTGAGGCTTCGAACATATCTGCATAGCACATGCATCTTAATTTACATATACAAAAGAAAGAACACAATCTCCTGATTTTTGCTGCTAGTTCAGTGCTCATCATTGTAAACATTAGGGTGAAAAAGCTAAAAAGAAACTGCAGTTGCATGCTAAATTCGTATCATATGCCATAGAACTCAGGCTTTTGGACGGAGGACAGCACCTTTAATGACAAGCCCCTTCTTCCAGTTCCCACCTTCATATTCATATAGAGAGAACTCTATTTCTCCATTCTTTTGATCTGCTGATGTCATGAACTCTCCTGCTGGGATTTCTATCCATTTTTCTCGTGGTTTTTCCACCATATTCTCGGTATGTCCTTGTCTGCTACCATCTGGGAGTATGAGTCGAAGATTCACTGGATTTTCCCATCCATAAGCAGGATCCTTTAACATGACAATAAACACAACCTCATAAATGAGCCCTGGCGATAGCTTAGTTGTATTGAATCTTCCATGGATTTCTAGCCAGCAAACATCTAGTAGTTCTGCTGCTGGAAGGAGGACATCACTGCATAAACAATAAAAAGAGTCATTTCAGGCCTTTTTACTTTGTTAGTCTTCAACTACAAAAACCTTTTAGTATGCAGTACATGTTGGTTTAGAATAGCTTCTAATAGGAAATGTGAAAGTTTTAGTTAGTTTTAACTCCTGAATGCTGGTTATCATTTCGTGGCCTGACAGCTAACACATGTTTACTAATTTTTAATCTCTTTTAGCACATTACTTCCCATGTTCTGCTTTAGATGTCACTCCTATTTTAGGTTTATTCCAAAAAAAAAAAAAAGAATGACTTTTCTATATTCAATTTTTTTAACTTTAAACTTCTCATTTTATTCTTATAGCCACAGTATCATGTAATGCTTATGACCACAAGTTCTAAGGATATTTTTGGTATGTGCCAAAAGTCTTTCTTTCTAAAACTCCATAACCTATCAAATACCACCATATGAAGTGAAACGGAGGGATTATTATTTTTCTATTCCAGCCCTATGTGTGGTAAAAGATGCTTTGGATCTACACTGAAGTTCAACTCGAAATGAGTATGGTTTTCTTTGTCAAATGAAACGTTTTCATATTACCTTGACTCTTGTACCAAGGGCCAGTGCCAGAAACGGTTGTTTTCTGCCCAAGTGATTAAGAGATCTCTTGCATACAGCATGAAGCAGTTGCCATTTGACTTCTTATCGACCCAGTATTTCTGCATGAAGTGCAAATTAAGTATAGCCATAGCAGTAGATAAGGCTACAGAATAAAACTGTAATTTCAAGTGATTGGGCTTAATTGACTAGTTGAATTTGCACATCAGAATTGGTCCAACAAGTCACAAGAGGACATGCTTCTCTTGGGGTTAAGTTGAAGGCAGAATTCTAAGCTTTAACAAAATATACACAAAGAACTCAACATGAACTCATAAAGTAGATATATGCTTCCAAATAGCATGTAGGGACTGTAGAACCTGTATATACAAACAACAACATACCCAATGTAATCACACACTGAAACCTGTATATCAACATCAAAAATAACAAACTTCTCAAGGATGAACACTAGCAATATATCTATTACTCTGGACGAATTTAGGTGCCTCATTTGGTTTGGACACGACTTTTAAGGTAAAAGTTGGAGTCTTGTTAATCTTTTATATGAAAGAAGGTTCAGAAATGGAGATAAAGTTGACTTCTTGAAGAACATGAATGTTGTTAAGTGAGAGAGTAGGTTAAAAAATCTTTTTGAAAATTGGATAATAAAGAGGTTTTGATAAAGGAAAAATTTCCTTTTCAGAAGGGTGGCCAGTGTTTCAAATTGAGCCTTACACAAATTTTTCTTACCTTGCGCTTTTGGTTCAGATATACTCCAGTATATAGCTGGTCATATAGTTTGGTCATGGAGGATCTGTCAACTGAAGAATCTGCCTCTTTTAGGATTTCTTCATAATTATGTGGAAATCTGAGTACTCTAGCGGCTTCCATTGTCTTGTTAGTCTCAGTACTCTTGCTGCTCTGTGGCATAATCTTTCTTGGTTCTTCATTGAGTACGGCAGCATCACTATGGTGGCCTTGAGGAGAAGTATTGCTTAGTTCTTGATTTTGTTTTAAATCCTGATCTTGTGACAATCCTGACCCCATTTCTCTGAAGAAGAACTCTTTGTGGATGTTGGTGTATGTATTCTGGAAGGCCTAGTCAGTAGTCATTCTCATGAATAAAGGGAGTTTTTATTTTGAAACTCTCTTAGTTGAGCATCTTTTGATTTTATCTTTCCCGAGTGGAGTCGGAATCTACTTTAAGAATTTATTCCTTCCGTCCACTTTGCACTGTCTATGAACAGATTCATGCCAGCACGGATAGGCCTTAAAAAGGTTATTCCTTTACAATAAGTTATGACATTGTAGATATCCAATATCTATGCTGGTGGGAGGTAGAAGGTACCCCATGGAATTAGTCGAGTTGAACCCAAGCTGGTCCATACATCATGGTCATAAAAAAAAAAGTAATGACTCTAGATTTTTCCTTTTCGGTGATAAATTCACTAATGTTACTGGATTTGGAGAATGTCTAAACTTTGAAAATTGCATTACTCTAGCTATTTGGCTACACCTCATTGGAAAAACACCCTCCTATCTGAAAAATAGCTTGTACTTAGCACCTTCAAAACATTCCAAACTCCTGCAATACCTTATTAGACCTCCTGCACTTTCTGTACCTGATTATACTTGGTCATTTCACCCCTAGTCACTTGCTGCCTCCTTTTCATAATATCAATTTATATAGTTTTAACTTCTATATAGTGGTACTGTGGTAGTGTAAAAGAATTTTTGCATTACCGGGTCAAGTACAAGATAACTACATGTCTGCCATAAGTGGAATTATTATCTTGAAAAATAAGGTGGACAACATGCTAGAACATGTTAAATTGCAAGGTTTCAAAATATTGTTACTTTGATATAACAATTGTGTGCCTTCTTTCAGATGGTTGGTTTTTGTTTATTCGTGGCCGTATGTTGAACATATTGCAGCTAGAATTGTGTATTGCTTGCCATTTGATCTTCTTCTGATATGTAGTTAAAATTAAAAAATCTAGCTTTATAGCATTAATTCTAGGACATAGACCTGAGAGATAAGATTCATGTTTATTGATCTAATAATAGTGCTTTTTATTTTACTTATTAATTGCACTGTTGGTTACCACTTTGTATGGTCAATACTTTCACAATCAGATGCTTGTCCTGAGATCCTGATAGAAGAAGTCTTATCATACGGCAAGCTGCTGCTGCTGAGGAATATGGTGATTTTATTTAGTTATGTCCAGATCAGTCCTTATCAAATATATATATATATATATTCTCCCATTTGCTATTCATATTTCCATATTCCTTCTCATCTTACAGATTTCCTTGAGATCATAGCATCATAACCAATGCATGTTTTTTTCATACTAAGTTAAATATTATTTCATATTAAGCTTCTAGCAGGAATGCATAATTATGTGCTCATCGCACAAAGATCTTTGGACAATTCAACAGAGCTATCTTTTTTTTTAGCATGAATTGGTTTAAAGAAAGAGTGAGCAGATAATCTGGGATAGAATGAAGGTATAATCCTTGTTTATTCCAGTTACCGCAATATCAAGCCATCATCAACATAATGATGTTTTCAAGACTATTCTTATAAGCTGATGATGTGTCACGCCCCCCAAACTGGATGCAAGGTGATTGACACCCAGTCTAACTTACTTGCTGAGTGAACTCTGAATTTATCGTGTATAATTTAGTCCCAAAAGTTTCTGGGCTTTACGCTGTGGCATGCATTTGGTTTACAAGTTAAAAGAGTGTCCAACAAACCTTCAAATCCTCAAAGGAGATAATTATCCTTTAGTTAAGTCATTCCAGTAAAGATTCAAGCATTGAGGAGAGACTTTGAGATTTTTTTTCAGTGAAGAGTACATAGGAGGTCAAGCCCAGGGGCTTTGGTGAATACTAAGACTGCAACATTTGATGTGTGAGTTAGACGCACATTATGGATTACAATTAAATGTTGCCGCAAAACAAAACTTGGTGGTAGTTAGTGGAAAAGGATAGAGTGGCAGGTCATTAGTCACTGAATTTCGAACTGAACAAACTTATATCTCCAAAATAAATTACATAAGCTTCTTATTCTTTAGGAAATTAACACCTAATGACCTTGGAAATAGCTGGTCTTGAACTTTTGCCACATGGGTAAACCTTCAAGGCCAAAAGTCGAAACTTGATGTTCTGTTAATGGGGCAAGCAAGATTATAAGTTCAAGATCATCCACCTCTAAAGTCATTCTTGTAAATCACCCAGACGGAAAATCTCAGGACACTTTGGGACAAATAACAATACCTTTGATGACTAAACCATGTTTACAATTCAGTTTCTCGGTTTCATATAGAAAAATTTCAATCTCCTCCCTCTTCTTCTTCCTCTTAATCTCACTGATCGTGAAGAACTCACCTACTGGCACTTCTATCCATTTTTCTCTTTCTGTTACATTCATCAGATTTACTGTAACATCGTTGCTTGACTTATTTGGGATGATAAGCCTCAATGTAATTGATTCCAGTCCATCTGCATTTTCTTTTATCTTCACCACGAACACTACCTCGTACAATTTTTCTGGCGTAAGTGCTTCTGTATCAAACCTCCCACAAACTTCCAGCCAACACACAGTTTTTAGTTCTGCTGCTAAAATTTTTTCATCACTGCAAAGTGGTAAATTCAAAACCATTAGCTAGGTTCTCGCAGCTTATCATGTCATAATATTTGTGTGACTCCAGAACTTATAAAACTTGTAGTTTCAAACATGTCCCAACAGTTGTGTGAGTATAAAACTTCATCATCATGGGTAAAATATGAAGTTTAAGTTAAAACTATTTCCAAAATTTTATTCTTTTTTGCAGGCCGAAAAGGAAACAGAATCACATAAATTGAAACAGACAATATATCTTTGATTTGGTCACCTTGTCTCTTTTATATCTACCCAATCCCAGTAACGATTGTCTTCTCCCCAAGTGATTGAGAGATCTTTTGCATATAACATAAAGCAGTTTGCGTTATTCGTTCTGTCAATCCAGTACTTCTGCATATCATATCACTAATATTATCTGTAAGATTGCATAACACTGTAAACTTCAAATAAATGAAGAATTATTAGAAGAATATCATAAAAACGGAGTATATAATTACAACTGCTTAGCTATTTTGAAATAGGATCATACATACTTCTGTATAAGATAAGGATAAAAAGAAGTTCACAGAGAAGAAGAAGGGAAACTTAAGTTGCTCTACCTTCTTATTTTGTTTGAGGTGGACTCCATTATATAGCTGTTCATATAGTCGCTCTGTGGACAATATATCAATCTCCAACGGAGAGTCTGCTTCTTTCAAGATGTCATTCAGATAATATGGAAGCTGAGGTCTTATATATGGAGGCTGGACTCTTATTTTTGTAGTTTCTGCATTATAATTGACATCAGTTTTGCTTCTTTCTGGTCTTAGCTTGCTTGGTTCTTCTGTCTTCACAGACGTTCGCTCTCTATTTTTTGGATTCTTAATTGATTGCTTTGCACCCATCTTAAGAGATTATTAACAATCTTCTCCAAGTCTAATATTATATTAACTAGATATGGAGAAAAGCAAGCTTGATGACCACTTGATATTTTGCCATAAAGTTTGATGCTATGCTGTTTTTTTTTTTTCTTTATATAAGTGACTCAAAATCTTAGCTTAAAGCATCTGATTCTCTTCTTCCTTGACAAATTCACCCTGTGTACAAGTTATTCTTCTACAAAAGAATTATTCCTTCAATGGTCGATGAAATTGCTTTGTGAAGTCACTTATCTTTTCTTCTTCTTTGTGTAAATTGACACTCTGATTTGAATCCTTGATTATGCTTGTTACGATGAATTAAATTAACGATATGGAAATTCAATCAGTTACAAGAGGATCATGGATTAATACTTGGCAAGAACCCAAGTGAAATCATTTAAGTAGTAGAGAAAAATGGGGTTCACTATGGGTTTTTGCATTGTTTGGCATTTGTCAACAACACCATACTTATTGAAATGATAGTTTACGATCATTGGTGTAACTTAACATGTTTTTTTTTTCTAGATCGTCAGTCAATACTATTACCCTATAAATGTGACCTGATTATGTAACTATTTTTACATGGTCAGTGCATAGAACTTTTTTGCACTTTTGGCAGCGAACACCCTAATGGTATTGAAATGCTGTTTGAGGAATATGACATCTCTATTATTGTAAGTTTTATTTTGTTACTCATAATATTTAGTAGAAGAATTTAGACAGAAACTTCAACACCTTTAATAACCAGTCCCATCTTAAGTTTTCTACCTTTCCTTTCATGCACATAGAATTCCAAATTTGTGATACTTTCCATTTCTTGTGGAATGATGAAAGTCCCTAGTTGAATTTTTATCCATTCTCTTTTTGGTTTTTCCATAAGATCTTCAATACTTTGATGTTCTTTGGTACCATCAGGCTTAACAAGTATTGTTTGCAGTGGAGATTCCCATCCTGAAAGAAATTTCTTCAATAACACCACAAGTGAAACCTTGTACGCTACTCCCCTTGAAAGCTTTTCTGCATCAAAACTTCCACCAACAGCTAGTGATAGAACTGTTTCCATTTCGTAAACTTGAACAGGTTGATCACTGCACACATAATCAATTGAAAATAAGTGCATTAGTGTGTCTATGTGTGGTTTTAACATTCTATATCTTAGTGTAGAAATGCCCCTTTAAGTGCTTTAGTGGGAATGCAGAGGATTGATTAATACTTCCTAAACATGTCACCAATATTTTTTTTTCTTCATACATTATCCTACACACATCCTTAGCGACCTATCCTTCTTTCCGACATACAAAACAGGTGCGCCTCATGGTGAGAAGGCTTGGCCTAATAAAGCCCTTCTCAGGGAGATCCTTCAACTGCTCATTTGTACTCAAGAAGACATTGGAAATTGATGAAAGTCTACTAAAAGGTAAGAGATATATCTCATAATGCAGATTAAATTACCTTGGATGCTCTTTATATTGGGGCAGACTCCACTTGCTGCTTTCTTCTGACCATAGGACATGTAGATTTTTGGCATACAAGAAGAAGCATCTTGCCTTTGTCCTTGTATCAATCCAATACTGTAGCATATATAATACATCAATTAATATAGACGAACATGCGTATATATATACAGTATAAAACATGGATAGTTTTGTAATTGGGGATATACATATACCCTGATTTGTCCATCCAAAAGTACTTCCACATCAGGCTCTGCATATTGTAAGATTTCTTCCAATTTACGCGGAAGACGACTAATATTGTTGCTGCTGCTGCTGTTGTTCTTCGGCTTTGCTCTTTTTGGAAGTATTGGACAATTCATGTAGAAGCTTACAAATGATGATATTTTTTGCAAAGAAAATTCTCAAAGTCAAGTAATCTATCTTAAAACCAGATATATGCTGATGCTCTGAGTGGCAACCAAGTTAGAATTTTTAAAAGAAAGCATATATTCTTGGGTCTGTTTTTGGCTTAAGAACCTCCCATCTGTGGTGTGGAAGATCCTATTGCTAACATCTTCTATAATACAAAAGTCACCAAAAAAATATAAATCTCTATTTGAAGTTGAGTAGAGACTCGTATTGATAACATGTTATCGAGTAACATGAACCTCTACTTGAAGTTGACTAGAGACTCATACTAGTAGCTTGTAAAACAAGAAAAATTAGAGATGCTTAGATGGAAAAAAGAAGTGTGGAGATTGTTACTATTAGATAATTTCATTCAATATGTTTCTCGTAGGGTAGGAATACAGTAAAAACTTGACTGATTATACATATTATCACCTTAATATATGACTTGACCGTGTAAATTAGTATGGTTTGGTGTAATAAACACTAGGTGTGGGTAAGCTTTTAACACAAGGATATATACTCTATATGACACAAAATTCCCCCAGAATTCACAAGAATCAAGTGCATCGCCCATGTAAAATTACATGGTTCATGGTATAAATAATATGTAAAAGTACTCAATGAACATCCATTAGCTCAATTTATTCATAACAACAACAAAGTTTCAATACTACAAAAGATACCATATCCTAAGACCAACTGGTACGATGTTCTTCTTCACATGATATGTTACATTCCTAAACTTTAGTAATATATCGATCCGAGCCTAGCCATATTACTAGCTTGGTTTTCCTCATCAGAATCTTCAAAAAATGAAAACTGAGCCATGGATCCACAGTTAGCACCCAACAACCAGATTAAGGATAAAATTTCACCACCTCTCACAAGATATTGTGCATGAGCACGCGGTGCAGAGCATTTGGCAGTATCAAATAATATCGCGATCCAAGTTTTATGAATAATCTCCCAACATTTAACTGTGTCTTGACACCAAGGAGATTCAGTTTGCAAATAGTTGACAGCCTTAAAAGCTTCATACAAGAACGATTCCTGAGGAATTCTCCCCTCAGCAGCTTTTTTCATGATCTCTTGGCAAGCTTCTTGTTGGCTTGAATTTTTCTTTTCATGAAGCAATTCTTTTATCTTGTTGTTGGTCTCTTCTATCTTCTTCTTGTTAGGAACAGGCATGAAGAAAGGGCGAAAAATAAGAATGTAAACCATGTAGTCTGATAGAGACTTTGAACATTCTCTAAACTTGTTCAACTCTCTTGAATCAGATCCAATATTTTCCTCAGGTACATCGACAACATTATAGAAAATCTCTGTCACAATGTGCCATACTATGAGGAACTCGTTCTTGTCAAGATCCTTTGACACAGGGAACTTGCTGGTGCATTTAGTGAATGTAGACGCATACAAGTTACAATCCCAATCATGCCTATTTAGACGTATTTCTACTTGTCTTAGAATTTCAGCTTCCAATATAGGAGAAAGACTCTTGTTTTTCACATATATCATCTCATCCAGATAATTTGTAAGGTGTAGGGAATCAATTATGCATTCCCATGCTTTTGGAGGTCGATTTAAACCATAGGTTATGAGGTTGAATTGTTGGAGAGATGGTCTCCAACACCATAGAGCACGTGGCCGTGGCCACTTTAAAGCTTTGAGGAATTTGACCACCCAAGTGATTGGCCTCGATGTTGCCCTTGACATTGTGGCAATTGTGAAAGTTGAGGAATAAAGCAAGACAACAAAAGCAATGGCATCCAGAACCATACCTCCAATGAGTAAGCTGTAGGTTAGTCCTACATCGAACGGATCAAATTGCTTTTGCTTGTTGTTCCTCACCAACAAAGAGAAAGAGGCCAATGCTGCAGGAAGCAGAACCCAATAGACAGATCGAGCTGAGTTCCCAAAACTTTCATGGAAAATTTGGGCCTTAGTGTATAGAACATCATGTAGAATCTCGAGTTCAGCCTGCGCGATTCTAAAAGCAAACAGATCAGTTCTGTTTTGCAAGAGTTGTTGAATTCTACCATACTCCTCAAAAGTGAACTTGTGCTCCACCAGAACACCTTTATAGGCCCTGAATATTGTATATGCAAGTTGTATAACCTCCACATCATCCGGCTCTCCTGCTCGGAAATTGTGAGGTTCTTCTGACGACTTCCTCTTCACAACATCTTCGTACTTAGGATTACTCAACGTTATGGACTTATCCATACTCCCTATGAACCTAGCACGTGCCCTCTCGTAACATTTGATGATCCCAGCCAAGAACACTAGGACATTTGGGATCCAAAGATAGTTTACTTGGGAGAACGATAAGTAGAACACGTAGGCAGAGGACAGGAACATGAAAACAAACGTGAAAGCATACCTAAACCACAGGTCATTGTCCTCGAGGGAAAAAGCTATCGCGTGATCAGAACCTCCTAAGTGCAACAACATACAAGAAGCCCAAAATGACATAAGTTCTGTCTTGTCATGTCTTGTTTTGCTGTAATTTACAATGAGATTGAGAATGAAAGCAGGGGCCCAATCAGCAGCCATGTATGCTGACCAAACAAACACCATCAGGATTTTACTGCCTGTTCTCTTCCTGAATGGTGCTAAAAGAAGCAATAGAGCTTGGATTAAGAGGCTTAGGATGCAAAAAGATTGCACATTATAGGCAATCCAGGCAGCCTTGATATGATTTATAGACATCATTCCTGCCTAGCAAATGTTTCAAGTATTTGATCAATGAAGAATTGATGAAATGATATTTATTCTCGATCGTGTTTTGCATGTAAAAATTATATGTATCGAGTAATCGGAGATGATAAAGAAAGACCTAAAATTTTGTGAAGAATGTTGAAGGATGTACCTTCCTCTTATGTCAAGTGTCTCTTACTTGAATATGATCCTTTTCTTGTGTTTCTTCTATCTATTATTATGGGATCGTTTACTCCAACTTGCTCTCTTTCTTTTAAACCTTTTTGATGAACTTCAATACAAGAATATGCAAAAGAATAGCACAGATTCAGATACTCTCTCCGATCACTTTTACTTGTCCACTACTCTTTTGTTTGTCAGTTTTAACATATCAATATCAAGAAAAGACAGTTATTTTTTTTCCTAGTGTTTTGTCCTTAACATTAATTACTTATTTTTTGATTTAAACTAAACATCAATTAATAGGGGTAGTATGGTAAAATAGTCATATCGATCATTATTTTTTTAATGAGCATAATGTGATAAGTAAAAGTGATTGTGTATATACAAAGTTATAAGTAAATCAACCATGGATGAAGGCATTGGTTTCTAGTGAGGAACATTATAGATATTTCCCATAATGTTAGTTAATTAGTGTCTGTCAATTTTGTCACTACAACAGTTGCTATCGTAGTTGAAAAGGTTCAATGAGATCACTCACTGTGACAAGGCTAATTTGGGGAATCATTTTTCACTTACTGATATGAATAATTTGAGGCGAATCAAAACAGTTCACATAGGTAACCCGTCTAACCCGCCCATAATTTTAAGGGTTGGGCTCAAGATAATTTGAATTGGGTCCAATCTCAAGCCTAACCCATTTTAAGGGAATCCTTAATTGAGTCCAATTCAATTTCTAATTTCAATCCGTTTTAAAAACTCTTTACTAAGATATGTTCATATATTAAAGGTATGAATTATTATCTATTTAACATCTTTTAAGGTTTATCTATCCATTTGTTAGTTTTTTTGGAAAAAAAATCTTGAGCTGATATTCGAATTGTGATTATAAAAGTTAAATATCACTATGTTTAAATTATTGAGATTAATCGGGTCAAATTGGGAGATCAAGACCCAACCCCTTTTTTAGCCCATTTGAACCCAACCCATTTGAGCCCAAAGTAAACTTGGGCGGGTCAAGACCCAACCCAATTTCTATTTTAACCCATTTTAATATCTCCAATTTTAATTCAATCCGCCCATTTGACACCCCTACGTGAAAGTATTCTTTAAGTATAATTTTCTCAACTTTTTAAAAATATTTTTAATCATTATTTATGTTGTCTTGTAATACTTTCATGTAGTTTTCTAATGAATAAATTTTATCTTAAAGAATTATAATCAAAATCAAATATTTAACTCTTACATTAAACCCATGAGAGGAAGCGAATATAAAAAAGAGTGAAAGGAAAATATTCTTAATTTTCTCATCTTACCCTGAATGATCAATAATGTTTCTACTTATTCTTCAGCATCTATTCCGTAAGGTATTTGTGGTGCATGTAATGCACTTCAACACATGATTTTTTTTTTTTATGTTCTAGGATGGCATTAGTTACATAAACAAAATAGAGCGCGCAAGAGAACACTGATAAAATTAAAATATGTGAGTGCCTTTTTCAGAAAAAGTTCAAGGGTAATTTGCGTATTTTCACTTCTTATAGTTAAACTTTATATATATATATATATATATATATGCGTAATATAGTTTTAACAAAAAGGACAAACTTGAAAAAGTATGAAAGAACAAACGTAGTTTCATTCGTAAAGTGAGCAATACAAATACATATACCATCACAAATTTTATTTAAGAAAAACACGCTCTAAAAAAAGTGAACAAAAATAAGACTTTTAACTTGAGCTTATCCTATTTTAAACTCTGATTGACGGAATGACAACATTCGATTTATTCAATATAATTTTTGTCTTATAACTTTCTTGTAGTGCTGCTGCTCTTTCACTCAACTAAATTAGCTTCTAGATTTCTGTTAAGTTTACAGAATGAATTTTGAGACCTCCTTTCCACTTTTTGTTCCAAACTTCATACAATCCAAAATAAATCTTATCAACATTGTTCCCCTTCCCTTTTGTTATCATAATAGTTTTTGATATCATCTTTTTGCCATTAATCTCACTTGTCAAATTGACCTTTCTCCATTGAGTATTATCTCCCCATTTAGCCATAAGATAAACTGGTGAATCGCTCCAACCAAATGCATCAGTCATCAGTGACACTGTAAATCCAACGTCGTATGACGTTTTCTTCGCTATATTAATATTGTCAATGCAGCCAGTTACCTCCAACCAATTTACTTGTATAAGTTCTGCACCATCTTTTCTGTAATTCAAAATACATTTAACAACAACATGTTAGTTGATATTACAAAGTATAGCATATGTTAGCTAATTAAATTAATTTATATAACTTATTAATTAGCACCCTTTAGTTCTTACTCATATTTGGGTAACTTCCAAAAGCGTTTATCATTTCCCCAAACAATGTTCAGTGCTTTCGGATAAACTATATAACCCTACAAGCAACAAAAACAACATAATTCAATTAATAAAAAATAGAAACTCGAGCACAACTTAATATATATTGGAAGAAATCAAATACATGAAATTTCATGCACCTTTTGTGTTTTAGAGAATGTGTGATTGCCTTGATAGTGAAGAGCTTTTGAAGCCATTTGCTATATTAAGTTGAATTACTCAAAATTACTAAGAATTAATGTGGAGATTTGAGTGATGCCTTGTGATATATGCTATTTGCCCTATATAATTAATAATCAGATATATATAGAGATAGGAATTAATTCCATGCATGCATGGGAATCAACTACATCGTATGAAAGAGGCATTTAGCTAAGCATACTACTGACCAAAGTAAAAATGTCAGACTTTAGTCGTATGAAACTTAATTTAAATATCGCATATTTGATGTTTGTCAAACAATTAGGTGCAAATTAAATAATTTTAAGAAAAAAATAGTACAAGTTGAACAGTGACGTTCAAATAAGATACACCGTGATTTTTTTTTCAAAAAAAATGTTGTAGTTAGCCCTTATAGGGTTTACTAAATGCAAATCTGAACTAATCGGAGTAATTAACTTAACAACGCCAGAGATGATTGCACGCAAAAAAGAAGTTAAAAGTATATACCATAAGTTGTCAAAATTGAACGCATTAAACTAGAACCGTCCTTTGTTTTGTAGTACTACTTAAGATTGAGGCCAAATTGCTAAAGATAGGATAAAACACCCACTACAAAATGACTTTGTATTATATTCTCACACGTTTAGTAGATTACGATATTATTCTCTCCGTTCACTTTTATTTATGGGAAAATTACAGAAATCACATACTTTTAAGGCAAAATTACAATCTATCCTTCAAAAGTTTATAATTACAGAAATCCCTCAAACGGATGCAATAATATAAGCGTTGATATCTTAATCTGATGCGCGAGATACATTAATTGTTAAGTAAGATACATTACATTTTATACATGATACACTAATCTGATGTACATTTTATACATGATACACTAATCTGATACGCGAGATACATTAGTCTGATGCGCGAGATACACTAATCTGATGCGCGAAAATGAGGGATTTTGGAGATTTGTAAAACTTATAGGGGATAATGGTGATAAGTAAACTAAAAGGTGAAATTTTTGTAATTTTTTCTTTATTTTTATTCATTAATTTTATATATCCTTAAGAAATAATAATGATTAATAATATAAGTATTTTACTATAATACTCCTATTAATTAGTGTATATTTTTGGATGGAATTTATTTGAGGAATAAGTAATTAACATTGGTGATAAAATAAAGAATTTTTTTTTGTCTTTTCTTGCATATGTAAATAACAAAAAAAATGAGAATTTAATAGTAGACAAGTAAAAGTTAACGATAGGCGTATATATCTTTTTCATTGCTTTTGTTCACATCTTCCACTTTCTAGACCTCGTGCGAGTTCTAGAAAAAAATTGCAAAGTTGTAGTCTAATTGACTCCTTTTTTTTCTATTTTCTTAAAAATATATAAATAAAAGAAACATGTACATTAGGGGTGGGGGAAGGGAAAATGGCCGGAAGGAGGAGGGGGATTACAAGATAGAAAATAGAATTTTCACAAATATGATAAAAGTTTGGAAAGTCAACAAGTTACTAAGATCTTATTGAATTTTTAATATTAATTATAGTTGTTTTTTTAAAATTCATTAAGCACTAAATATTTGGTGATAAGGAGGCCAAATCAGTTTATGCTTAAGCCGACAGAAAGAATAATAAGTGAAAGCACTAAAGTTGGACCAAAAGGGTCGAAATTCCTAGGTGTTAAATATTTGTTCCGTTCACTTTTATTTATTCACTATATTAAATTTTTATCTTTCACTTTTAGTATATCAATTTTTTTTTAAAAATATTTTATCTTCAATACTAGTTACTTATTTTTCAAAATTTAATATTATACATCGATTAATATAAAAATTGTGACGAAATAGGCATATTAATCACAAATTTAAATAATATATAAAATGGAAAAATGAACGAATAAAAATAAATAAAATAAATACAAAATACAAATGAAGCTAAGATTAATGAACCCAAGCAAAAGTTTTCAAACTTGAAACTTTATAAATAGATTCACATTCTCATTGAAGCAGCCAAGGGGAATAATCAGGCAACATTAGAAGACGTGCTGTGCTGACTGCTGACGGTTTGGCGCTTGTTTATTTCTTTCTTTTATATTAGTTATTAATAGTCTATACTGTGTAGTGTGTAGTACAAGCTAACAATATTAATTTTATATTTTTAAAATATATTTTAAACATGTCAATTATTGTGACTTATTGCATTTTTTTACATAATTTTTAAATCTGTATATTTCGAATTTAAAAATTAATCAAATTAAATAATATTGCTGATTTTTAAAAATTAGTTGTACAACTCATATTTAAGAAAAGTACATTCAAACTATATATTTTTTTGTGAAATGTATGGCTAAACACAAGTTCAACATTAATTCAAACTTTTTTTAAAAATAATTAATTATATAAAAATAAAAAACATAGTTTTAAATATTTATATATTTAAATATAAAAATTAATCAAATTAAATAATTTTGATAATTCTTTGAAATTAGCAGCACAAATCATATCTAAGAAAAGTACATTCAAACCTATATTTTTTGCAAAATGTATGGCTAAACAGAAGGTCAACTTTAATTCAAACTTTTAGAAAAACAATTAATTGTATAAAAATATTGAAGAAAATATATAATATAAAAACATAGAAGCAAAATGAGCACTGGAATAAAATAATGTTGCTATGTATTCAAGTTTAAGAACCGGAGACCAGCATGCCAAACAGCTGAATAATTAAATTAAAACAAATAAATGAAAATAGATGGAGTAATAATAACATTCTTTCTTTTTTTTGGTAAAAGATAATATCATTCAATATCACTAAGATATTACCTTTGTTTTTTTAATTATGCCTAGTATTAATACTCTCCTATCCCTAATTACCTGTCCACTTTTAAATTGACACACCTATTAATAAAGTAATTAATGACATGGTGAGATTACTATTTTACCTCTATTAATTATGAAGTAGATGAATTAAAAACTTAAGATTTTTAATAAGTTCTATCTTTTTCAAAGTAATTAATTGAGGATATAATAGATTAATTTTTTTTTGTCATTTTCTTGATTTGTCAAAATAGTTGAGTAATTAGGAACAACCAAAAAAGAAAAAGTGGACAAATAATTATGGACAGAGGGAGTATATTGTAATTTGTACACTTAGATTTGGATAAGTGAACTTTAAAATGTTATTGATCTCATATACCTTAATGTATTCACATTTTTTGCACGACTCTTAAATAACTTTTGACATGGGAGAGCTAGAAGCCACCTTGAAAGGTTCAGCAATGTTTTTTTTTTTTCTTCTTTTGTCTTAATTATGGATTAATTTTATTATTATACTTTTATATATTTTTATGAATAGCCAATTTTCTATTTTGGATTTTGATGAAACCTTTTATAGGATGAATTCATTTTATTTATATAATTGAGCCATTAGATTTTTCTACTTGTTGACTATATATGTATGTGCTTATTTTTGTTGATCGAATAGAATTGTCATCGATATTATGAGTTGCTAGAGAAAAAAATGCATATTTAGATTGTTATTGAACAATGTCATTCTTAAGCATATGAGAGATCACTTATAAAGATAGTTTAGAGATAACAAAGTTTTGATGTTGTCATAATGAGCGACGAGAAATTGCTAGCTAGACAGTAGTTTGAAGAATATATCTAGTACTAAATGACGGTGATTGATCGAGAGATAATTGTGATAAGTTACATGGGTCAAGACACCTCTCATATGCAGAAAATAAAAACATAATATAGTAACTAAATGTGTTCGTTCGATCAAAAAAAAGTATTCACAACTTGTAGAAAATAAAAACACAATGTAGTAACTAAATTATTGGGAGTCATTTTTCGGTAACAGTGAACAAGTTGTGGTGAATCAGAATAATTTTATATGAATCGATCAACATAAATAAATTAAACATAATTGTCAGGATACTCCTCCTATTGTCCTATATTATGTGAAACTGTTACCGTTTAGGAAATTAATAATTTTTTCTTCATAGTTTCATTTATGATGATCTGAGCAATACAAATACAAAGTTACAAACGCGAATTCATTTAAGATAACCCACTCTAAAATAAATGAATAAAAATAAGACTCTTAACAATTGAGTTTCCCCTATTTTAAACTCTGATTTACGAATGACAATAATTGATGTATTTCTATTTTTACAACTTTTTTGTAACACTATTCTTTCACTCTGCTAAATTAAGTTTTAGGTCTCTATTAAATTTACATAATGAATTTTGAGACCTCCTTTCCATTTTTTATTCCAAATTTCATACAATCCCAAATAAATCTTATCAGTGTTGTTTCCGTTTCCTTTTGTTATCGTAATAGTTTTTGATATCATCTTTTTGCCATTAGTCTCAGTAGTCAAATTGATCTTTCTCCATTGAGTATTATTATCTCCCCATTTAGCCATAAGATAAACTGGCGAATCGCTCCAACCGAACGCATCAGTCATCAATGACATTGTAAATCCAATGTTGTATGAAGTTTTCTTCGTTATATTAAAATTATCGATGCAACCAGTTACCTCCAACCAATTTACTTGCATAAGTTCTGCATCATCCTTTCTGTAATTCAAAAATATTTAATAAAAACGTCAGCATGCTAAAAACAACAAGAGATCAGTATAATTAAATTGATCCCAAGATGATTTATGTAGTCCTATATTGTCTTTTCATTATGCAAAATGTAGTCCTTTTAGAAAATTTTATGTTCAACTTCTATATGAAATCAAAATATAGTTGGTAAAAATAAAATTAAAAAAATAGTATTCTTACTCGTATTTGGGTAACTTCCAATAACGCTTATCATTTCCCCAAACAATATTAAGAGATTTCGGATAAATTATATAACCCTGCAAGCAACAAAAATAACACTATTAAATAAATAACATAACATAAACTCGATGGATTGATTGATTAAGCATAAGTAATAAGAGAAACAAGAATTGCAATATAAGAAGAAACTGTTGTATGAAATGTCCTGCACCTTTTCTGTTATAGAGAATGTTTGATTGCCTTGATAGTGAAGAGATTTTGAAGCCATTTAATTTGCTATATAAGTTGAA